GGCTCCAAGGCCAGGATCCTGCACCTCGACGCGAAGCCCGCGAGCACTACCTCGTCAAGCTTCAAAGGCCACCTCAATGGCCCGTCATCATTGCGACGAGGACATGCTGCCCCCGAGCCTCACCGAGTCCAAGCGTCCCGTGACCCTGCCTGCAGGCCGACGGCACCTATCGCGAGGACTTTGCCCGATGGCGGCAGGCGCGTCGCGGACCGTACTTTCCCCCGTCATGTACCTCCACACCCAACGAATTGTGAGTCCTTGACCTATCGCCCCTGGCCCTGCGCCTCCCTTGCCGAGGCTACAGCCGCATGTCTCGCTGTACTAACCGTTTATCGTCTGTCAGCTCCTACGTGCCCAACTCGTTCCTTCAGGAGCTCTCAAGTGAGCTCGCCACCGAGATGCTGGAGAAGAAGATCAAAAACAAGAAGCTCGAGGCAGCGTTCGAACTCGCCGTCGAGCAAAACTCGCTCGAGTTTTACAAGGACCTGCTGAACGAGCACGCCGCTGAGCTGGCTGCCAAGGAGGCTGCCGCCGAAGATGCCGCCGCCGCCGCCGCCGCCAGCAAGAAGAAGAAGCGAGCTTCCGTCGCCGCCGTCGAGACGGAGGATGTCGACATGGCCGATGCCTACGACGAGGAGGTGGAGGATGTCGAAGTCCCCGCAAAGTCGAAGTCCAGCAAGAAGCGCAAGGCCGAGGAGGCGGCGGTAAGCAACAGAAAGCAGACGACATGCCCGTGGAGTCGTGCGCTGACCCGAGAACAGACTCCCCAGCGATCGGATTCGGCTAAGAAGCCCAAGATCAAGCTCACCACGTCCTCTACGCCCAAGGCCACCAATGGAACGTCCACGCCCAAGGCGGCAAAGGAGTCTGCTGCCAAGCCGGCAAAGACCAAGTCCAAGAAGGACGGCGCTGAGAAGAAGGCGGAGAAGGAGGCACCCAAAGAGCCGGAGCTGAGTGCGGAAGAGAAGCACCAACGCAAGGAAGTATGTTGTCCGGCGCCAGCCCCTCCCGCTCGACCGATCACTGACAGGCACCGCAGCGCGAGGTTCTCTTCCTCCGTCACAAGCTCCAGAAGGGCCTCCTCACCCGCGAGCAGATCCCCAAGGAGGACGAGATGAAGATGATGTCCGAGTACATCAGCAAGCTGGAGAGCTTCCCCGACCTCGAGGTCTCGATCATCCGGGCGACCAAGATCAACAAGGTACTCAAGGCGATCCTCAAGCTCGACTCCATCCCCAAGGAGGCCGAGTTCAACTTCAAGTCTCGCTCCCAGGCGTTGCTGGACAAGTGGACCAAGATCCTCAGCACCGTGGACGGTGTAGCCGCCCCGTCGACAGCGAACGGAGTCAACGGCACCACGGAGAAGAAGACCGAGCCTAACGGCGTCAAGGACGAGGCCAAGGCGGACGCCAAGTCAGAGGAGGCGGCCGAGGCGAAGAAGTCGACACCCGAGGCGACCGAGGAGACTGAGGCGAAGCCAGAGGGAACGCCAGAGAAGACAGCCGATGCTGTGAGTACTATGCGTCGCCAACGTGCGCAACTGCGGAAACTAACTATCTCGCTAGGATGCTGCAGCAGAGGCTCCCAAGGAGGTCGAGGCAGAGGCATGAAAGCGTGGCGCACGTTGACGGGTCTTGAATCTGACGACAGCAACAACAACAACAACATCCGGGCAGCCGGGCGGTTCCTGCCAAGCCATTGTGGCTATAGGGCTGGACGCATCATGCTCCGCCGGCGTACATGAAGAGATCGGATCGCAAAAAGTGGCTTTGTTTCTCTCGCTTTGGGGGAGGGAGGCGTATGTCCGGAGTTTGTAACAACTATGTGTTTTTTTTTTCTACTTCTTCTTCATTTCCTTGACAGGGGCCGCGCTGCTGGAACGGAGAAGAGAGGATGGGCCTGCTGTCAGGGCGACCGGGTGACGCTTCGAATCTACATTCTTCCTGGTTCACTCCAGTGCAAGAGGTTCATCTTTGACCCTTGGGAGACCATGGATGGATGGACGGCAAGCAGGCACAGGAACAAGCAGGCGCAGGCCCCGTGTGTACAGAGTCTTCACGCCGAGATACGAACAGGAGTGCGCAAAGCAGGACAAATCAGAAGAGGGCGGGATTTTTTCAGTGGGCTCTTCTTTCTGCGAATCGGTCTGGGGCTGGTTTGGGGCTTGGAGAGCACGCAGAGCTTGGGAGGGACGAGAGGGAGAAGGGTCCCCATCATGACCATCTGGTTCGAAGAGAAGAGAGAAACAGAGAGAGCGAGTGGGGGAAGGGATTTGGGCTTCTTTCACGAGTCTCGAGATTGCAACCATATAGCTATGAAATCGATGCATTCATTAGAATTGGGCTTTATTCTGAGGCTATCGAGCTCACCAAATCGGTGTCGTCGAGAGGGGCATCAGCCGCTGGCCAGAGTGACCGAGGAAACAGAGGAACCTAGGTGAGGCACAACGAACTATTCGGATGGAAGCCTGCTGCTAGACGTCTCGATGCAACTCGTCTTGACAGGCAGCGCACAAATGATCATGGGCCAGGCTGAGCAGGGAAAAGCAACAAGCTCAGGGGGGGGGCTCGCGAGGCAAGGGGACAATACGGTGCCAATTCGGTGACGTAAAACTGTGCACCTCGAGTCCGTGCTTCCCCACGCGCCTCAACCGCGTCTCATCTCCAACCCTCCATTCAACGTCACCGGTCCTTTCACCATCGACGGACCATTGTCACCTCATCCAACGAACGTCAGCTCGTCATGGCCGACACAGCAGCCATGCCAGATCCGCATTTCCAGCAGGAAGACCACCAGGCTGCCTACGTCTTCCGGCCCCGAGAAGAAGGCGCCTCAGCCGAGCGGGCCCCCAAGCGCCGGCGCACCTCGAAGAAGGCCTCTGAGCTCCGCTCCGAGCACGCCGACGACGATGGCAGCAGGCCCGACTCAGGTCGGCAAGCAGCGAACGCGGAGGACGAGCCCTCCTGGTTTGTGCCGCTGCTGAACGGGGCCGAGGCGCCCGCGTGCGTGCGCCTCCGTGAGAGGCTCTTCCGGTCGAGCTGGCAGGGCATCGAGGGGCGGGTGCAGACCATGTTGCGCGACGCCAACTCGGCGACGCTGGGGCAGGTGGCCGCGTTTGCCTGGGGGCGGCACGCGGGGCGCGCGGCGGCGGACGGGGACCGGCGTCAGGTGCCGGCTGCGTTCATCATGACGGGCGCCAACATTGCGTCGCAGGACCTGCTGTTCCGGCAGCTCGGCGCGAGGCTCGAGGGCGGCGAGCCCAGGAGCAGGGTCGTCAGGCTGCGGTCCGCTGAGGTGGGCAACCTCAAGGCGGCGCTGAAAAAGTCGTCAGGGATGCGACGCCCGCGATGACGAGGGGACGACGACGGCGAGTGTCTTTTGGCAGTGGATTCGTCGGCCGCTCTGTGCTTTTTTCTTTTCTTTTTTTTTTTTCTATTCTTGCGAGCGTGTGCGGCCTGCTGCTGACGTGAACAGGGTCGCAAATATCTCAACTATGACCTCGAGGGCCTGGCTGCGTTTGTCAAGGCACACGGGTGCCGTCACGTCTTCGTTGCTTTCCAGGACAGCGAGGGTTTCGACGGCGGTCTGCTGTCGGATCTCATTGTGCTTTTCAGGTGAGCAAAAATTGCCAAGACAGAGTGCGCCTCCCGCTCACGACCTGCTCAGCTCGTGGCTCACGGACATTCCCTTTACTTTGCTGTTTGGCGTGGCGACGTCGGTCGAGCTGTTCCAGGCGCGGCTTCTCAAATCGACGTGTCAGCTCTTGTACGGTGCGCAGTTCGACGTCGTCCAGACGTCGACCATCCTCGAGCAGATCTTCAAGCCTTCTGTTGCCGGAGCAGACGTCTCCTTACGTCTTGGTTCGTCGCTTCTGCAGCATTTCATCGACAGGCAGCATGATCAGGTCACCAGCATCGAGTCGTTCCTGAGCTCACTCAAGTACGCATACATGTGTCACTTTTACGCCAACCCGTTGAGTATCTTTGCCGTCGAGGACAATGAATTGAACAGCGAGCTCGTTCAGCCCGAGCACCTCGAGGCATTCCGCTCGCTACCCTCGTTCCGCCGCCATGTCGAAGACGCCGTCGAGACGGGCGACCTCCAATTTGCCAAGTCGGCCCTTCAAGACGATGCGTTTCTGTATGAGCAAATCTTCGACATCCCGAGCAAGAGGAGAGCCTGGTCAGCTCGGCTACTCCGGTCCCTGGCTCTGCTGAAGAGCACAGGCGCCAACCAGGAGACCTTTTCGCAGCTGTATCTGAAAGCCGTCGCCGAAGGCATCGACCTCTCGTCGGTGGACATCGGCATCCTGACCAACATCAAACGTCTGCAGCCGGCCGACTTTATACGCATGGTAGAGAGCCTGCTCCAGACGCTAGGCCAGGGCGACCAAGACCTCGGGCTCGAGGAATGGAAAAGCGAGTCCCAGGAGGCGCAAGACTTGGCGTCCTCCCTCGAAGCCTGCCTTTCAGAGTCCCGCGAGCTCCTGTCGGCAGCGCAGAGGGACGGCAACACGCTGCGCAGCTCCTACAGCGGCAGCAGCAGGATCCTCCGCACGACGGTCGTCGCGCAAAAGGTGCAGCTGAGCCGCGACTCGGCGGCGCTGTCGGACGCCGACAAGGCCTTCACCAAGATCGTCGACAATGTGGCGTCGCTGCTGCAGGGTGCGGCGCACTGCGAGCCGGCGACCGACAGCTTCCTGCACGAGGCGTGGCTGTATGAGTCGAAGATGCCGTACCGCGACGTCTTTGTGCCGCGGCCAAGGGTCGTCTTTGAGAGGAGCCTCATGCGGCCCCATGACTATCTTGCGTGCGACTGCTGCCGGGGCCACGGCGACGGCATCTCGACGACGCTGCCCGTGACCTCGCTGTTGTATCATCTATACCTCGAGGGCGGCAGCCTCATCAACGTCGCCGACCTGTGGGCGGCCTTCTTCGCCATGGTCGGCGACGAGGCCGACGAGGGCGAGACCGTCGAAGGTCCTGGGCCGGCAGCGGCAGCTGAAGACGCGGCTGGCGTTCGAGCTGGCGGAGGCCACAGCGAGAGGGTCGCGCTGGTCTTGTTCTACCAGGGCCTGGCCGAGCTCAAAGCACTGGGCTTTGTCAAGGCTAGCAGAAAGAAGGTCGACCACATTGCGAAGCTGAAATGGCTATGATCCATCTCGGGGGGTGGAGGGGGGGGCTTCGTTGCGGGGCGAGGCGTCCTTTGTGACAGAGCCAGGGAGAACAATGGATGCGAGAACCACGCGACGTTGTTGACAGTGCCTGGCCCAAGGGACTGGGTCTTGGAGTTTGGAGTCGGAGCTGGAGCTGGACCTGGGCCTCGAGATGAGCCTAGAAGCCTCCTGTCAATAAAGCGAGGAGGCTAAGAGGGCTGCGTTAGACTTTCCTGGGACAGCCTCGCAGACGCCAGCACCCGGTCTAGGACTGGTTGGTTCCAGGCGTTCGGATCGCGAGGCACCGAGAGCGAGAGCGTCCCCTCCTATTTCTTTCATCATCATGGGGGGCTCCTCCCAGATGCTTTGCTAGCTAGGCCACTTCTGAGTCAGTAATATCCGATAATGCATGAGAAAGGACAATTTTGGGGGCATGGAGGGGCCTTGAAGGGCCTTGAACGGGGGGAGGGGGGCTTTGTCGCTCGGTCGGAACAACGGACTTGTGTGTTGTTTTCAAGCCGCCACAATATCTCGCCACGAAATGGCGAATCGGCAGTTTAGCAGCACGCAAGTCGGCCTGGCTCCCTCGCGCCAAGACTGATGATGGTATCGCCGACGCCAAATACCTGCAGTCGCCGTCATGTCATAGATGGGGCGCCCCTCTTCCCACTTCATCTTACTCTCCGTCCGAATCACACCAAAGATCAAAGACTCTTTTTTTCCCCTTCCAGCAGCATGGACCCGAGGGCAGCAGAAATGTCATCTTTGTGTGTCTCGGGGGCCATTCTACATGCGGCGGGGGAACCCACAACGCTTGTCGCCGGCCGGTGATGATGTCTCACCACAGACACAAAGAAAACCCCTCGAACCACGAGGGAGGCGTACATCCCGAGAACCTGGCTCGACAGTGACGGCGCTCTCCCTCTGACGAGCTCTCTGTCCTGCCACCTGGTCTGCTGTCAATCCGCCGGCGTTCTTCTTCTGCGTCTCCCTCATCGCAGTTTCGTCTGAAGAATGGCACGAACAGTTCATGAAGGACGGGGGGGAGGGGGGGGGGCTACAAGAGCTTCTTACACGCTTTCGCTTGCCTTGCCTCATTGACCTAGGTGCCCTACTCTGTCTCGCCTGACGTCGTAGCGTCTATTGACCTGGTGCGCCTCCCAACCGGCCTGCCCACCATCGACCCTGGCCTTCTGGGCTGAAGCGACCACCTGGAACAAGCGCGGCGTTCATTTACCCTCATGCGGCGGCTCGGTCTCGTCACCTTCTGCCCCATGCCCCATGGCCCCTCCACCCCCCCCGTCGCCTCCGTCGTGCCCCGTCTGTCGGTGAGTGCCGTGCTCATGTGGGCGCGGGCTGGCGGACTGGCGGGCGGGCCTGCTGGTGAATTGATCCTACCTGACGCGATGTTGATTCTCTTTCTCTTGGCCCGCTTTGCCAGCGGCGCGGGACCTACTGTCCCCTTTCCTGTTACTGGGGTGGGCACGCCCCTTTGGCGTGGTGTCTTGGAATTGGCGTCAAAGGATCGTCGAAGACACACACACACCTAGACATGCACACACGCAGACACCACGCCGCGCCCCCCCCCCCCTTCTTCTCCCCCTCCACCTCGGGTGCTGCGTTTTCTTTCGAGGCATACAAGAAGGAGGCCGGCGCGCACTTTCCTTTGACAGAAGCTTAAGGCGAAAGATGGTGTCCTCGGTTCCTGAATGATCTAAGCCTTGTATACATATTCCATTGCTGTCCTTCTCGCCTTATACCCCAAGTATCCTCTTAGACCAGTATCTCCTACCTTTTTGGGGAGGGCAACGTACCACCAGGATTAAATACCCTCCTCTAAGCAAGACTCATCTGCCGCCTTCTCAAGACCGCTCTGCGAACAACAGCTTCTTCCCCGGAAGGATTTGAAAAAGGACAAGGAACTTTGACTGGTCTGCTCCTCTCTCCCTCTCTCCCTCTCACGCATCCATCACGCATGCGAAACAAGCAAACCTCCATCTCAACGGCTACACAAAACGGCGCACTGAGGTCCTGACAACCACCACTCATTCGGACTCCCGAACCCACGAAACTGGGGGCGCGCAAACCACACAGCTGCCCAAAAAAAAGAAAAAGCAAACCCTGAGCATCTTCAGCAGCAGATAGAAAGAGGGATCGTCGCCTTCTAGAAAACCACGCGGGGACACACGCACGCACCAGCTACCTGCCACATTTACCACTGCCAGCCTGTCACGCCTTCAATCTCCGACCTAAGACATCCTGCAACGCCCATCACATCACCACGCACCACCACCTGGCAAGAACGCAGGAAAAAGGAAACGAAGAGGGCAGAAGAAAAAGAAAAATACCAATTAGCGAACCCCCCCCCCGTTCAGCCATGTCCACCAGCCGCCCAAACGCCCGCGGCCGCTCCCCTTCTCGAAGCGGCCGCGGCCGCAACGCCAGCAACGGCACCTCGACACGAGCAAGGGCCAGCACCAGCACGGGCACCAGCACGAGCACGAGCACCAGCGCCCGCACGAACCCCAGCGCCGGCCCCGGCGGCATCATCGCCCGCCGCGCCGCCCGCTCGCCGGCCTTCCGCGAGAAGCTCCGCCAGATGGCCCTCGGCCT